TATATAAGATATCGTTTCAGATATATTCACATATATTTCACTGCTTGCATGGACAAAAGGAAAAAGTTCTGTGGTGCTTGATTTAAGTTATCTAACAATGAAAAACAATAAAGCCATAAAGGTTTTCTAAAGAACGGGTCACAACAAACAATCACTGTCACTGATCACTTTTGTTTAATGGACAATGGCAACAAAATATTTTATTGTCTCGTTTGAAAGAACCTTTAAAATATCTCTAAAATCTTGTTACAAACTTTTCACATCAAGCTTAATTCTTGAAATATTTTGAGTGAAAGCATTGAGCTGTCCGCCATCTTGGATTAATTCTTAACCTCATTGGCTATTGTTTTGATGACGTCAGGAGTGGGGATTGCCCATTGAAATGAGTTAAGTTAGTCTTACTTATGAGCACATTTACTCAAAGTTCAAGTTTACTTTATTTTTTAGCATGCGGATAAGTGGATACATCACTTTTACTCAAGATGTTTAGTCCAATTTTTTTGCAGTGTAAACTGGTTGTGTTTCTTTTTCACTTTTTGCAGTTTCAGTTTTAAAACAACTTAAAATAAAATTCATGATCAACAGTCAACACTTCTTTCTTAACTTAATTTGACGAATGTCTATATATAAATATTTGTTTTACATTTAAATCACTGCCTGCGGACACAAATATTTCTAATCGGCTATTTCTAATAAACCTACAGTATATAATTATACCTGGGTGATAACAATCAAAGACCAGTTAAAACAGCAAACACGTCTTGTTCTAAGCTTTAAATTACTCATTAGCCTTATATTTGCATTTATTTAAACAATAAAGGTTACTTCACTGACAAAAGTCAAAGCAGTCAAAACCGGAAACCTTTCATGTTTATTTTTCTACTTTAAGTTGTTTAATTAAATTAAATAACTTTATTTAATTTATTTAATCGCTTTACTTTTTACTCGCTGTAATTTTTAAGAACTTGAATCAGCTCCAAAGTGTCATCGTCAATAATAGCCTATACTCTAGGTCTAGGTCTAGGAGTTGTTTGATGCAGTGTTCCAGAATTTACGGTACTTGTTTGACAAATCTCTATATAAATATTAGTTTTATAGCACTGCCTTCGAATTCAGCCACAAATATTTCAAAGGCAATTGGCAACCTGCAGTGGACACAATAGAAGACCAGTTAACGCCGCAAACACTGTGAACAGTCCTGTAAAGGCTAAGCTTTCATTGGCCTTGCTGACTAGAGCAGAAAGACCCCCCACTGTCTGCCTAAAATAAATACCGGTTGCAGAAGCGTGATATTATAGTTGAAAGTTTAAGCGTTTGAGATCAATCTGCAACGAGATCAATCGTATAAACGTCAAGAAAGAAGGTGGGACATTGGCAAGTTTTTAATTATTCTAATTAATTCTTAGTTTTTCATGTTTTTAAAATGTGTAAATGATCATCAATATTATAGTTAACATTTCTGGAAATTCCAGTAACTTTAATTAAGTAACTTTATTTATAGTTCAAATTTATTAAATTTATTAAGCACTGTTTTTCTCAGGTCCCCCCCCTGGCATTTCTTAAAGAAATCTAACTCGCTCCTATCTATCTTCCTGATACCTATAACCCCTCTAAAAGAAGATTACAAGGATCCATTAAATCATTAATTCAATTGTTAAAGCTCACTTCTTTGCACATGCTAGATTTTGTGGGACATCTCTTCTTTTTCTAGATCATACAATTGATTTGTCAGTTTTTATGTAATTTCAAAGTAAGAGTTGAGCTTTTAATGACCAAATATTACTAATAAATGCATACAATGCTATTACGAGCAAAGCGTTGACGGCATAGCCCATAGGTGAATTAAACTACATGCCGATAACCATCGATGCATAACTAAATTTTTGCTAAGCTTTTCCTCACCAGTAATGTTTAATTCTCATGCGAAGCCAAACGTTTTCTTTTTAGCGTTTGATACGATTTAAAAGATAAAATTTCTTTCGAATAGAACATTTAAAAAGTTCTTAACAATAAAAGAAAATGATTAATGGTCTTCTTTCTTAAATTTGCCTTCTTTCTTAAGAAGAAACTTTCTTTCTTTCTTTCTTTCTTTCTTTCTTTCTTAAACTTTAAAACTACAAAAAATATGGCTGTATAAGGATGTCTATATATAAATATTAGTTTTATATTTTTTATTAGCTATTGCATAAAAATTTCAAACTAATTTTTTGACTCAATTTTAACCTGAAGTCGAAACAATAAAAGACCAGCTACCGTAGCAAGCACTGTCCAAGCTCTCATTGGCTTGCTAACTAGAGCAAAAAGACCTCCCATGATCTGCATTAGGGTAGATAACTTGTGGCGCCACAGAAAATGTATATCATATAGCTCAAGGGTTGAACGTTATAGGTACAACCAATTTACAGAAACTTAATAAAAACTAAAACTTCAGGAAAGAAGTTGAAACATATTTGCAACCGTAAGTAATTCTTAGTTTTTAATATATATTTATTGAAAGTTTTTTTTAAACTGAAGCAGTTACAATTGCAATATGAATAAAAACAATCCGAAAATTCCAAGCTTTCAGTGGAAAGAATTGTTTTTGTTGAAGAAAGTAGTAAGACCTCTCACTGTATTCCTATTAAATAAAGCCAGCCTGGTTTACTATCAAAGTTTCTGTGATCACAGTAGGAATTTTGCATATAGATAAAACTAAATTTTTCTAAGCTTTGTTTTTCATCGCAGTAGTGTTTCTCATGCGAAGCCAAACTTTTACTTTTTAGCATTTGATAGTATACGATTTAAACGATAAAATTCTTTCAAAAGGAAGAAAATTATTAATGGGTCGTCTTAAATTTTCCCGCAATGAATACCTCCACAGGCAATATGGTCGGCACCTGTTTGTGTCCATGGCATAAAATTTTATATACGACTTATCGTGGAGACACGGACCCCGGTCAACTAATTTTTAGCTTGTTTGTCGTCGAGAGATTCGGAATAACATCATCAGCAAAAAAATCAATAATCCGTCACAAAATCAATAAAAATTTACATCCAGCCATGCAGAACTTCAATAATCCATCACAAAATCAAAATATAGAATATGCGCAATATAAATTTTAAATGTTATTATTATTATTATTATAAGAAAGCTAGGTTACTAACATTCTTTTATTTTTGTCAGAAAAAAGATGGCGCACGCATTAAAAATTTTGAAAGTCGTACTTCTTCTCACGATGATAGCGTGGAAAGACGTCATCGCTAGCCCCAGTAACGGTAAATAATGCCTTTAACATTAACGGCCGAACAACCACTAGTTTCCCGATCAATTAACAATGGAAACATAAACTTCAAAAGTTTCAAATGTATTGTTGTTATGTGTATGAAATGAAATTTTAAAAAATATGTAGACAAAATATCGTCTAATATCGTCACGTATTTGCAATGAAAAGTGTTTAAAACCTAAAATATTTTTGGCGTTCCTCTCAAAATTACTTTGTTTTAGCTTTATTCTCAAGTTTATAGAGTTAGCTACCTTTTTAAATGCATCTGCCGGTTGAGAAACATAACTGAAATAATAGTTAAAAATTGTCAATTAAATTAAAATACAATTATAAATGATGCTTTAAAATTGACGCCATATATTTACAGCCATATAAGCAAAACTTACTGAACTTCAGACATCATTTTCTCTTTGGCGTATCATCTAAAATCTCTTCATTTTTGCATTATTTTACAGATAAAGCACTAAACATACTTTTTAAGTTTGTTTGCCGATTGGAAAACGTATCGAAAAATAAACATTTTGAATTTAGTCATAACCTCAAGTGATATATTATACGCATTAGTTTTGAGCGCGTGTTACGAAACATACAAAAAATCTCCTCTTAAAAAGAAAACCCCCGAATTCAATAGGTAAATGGCTGACTGTTTATCCACCCAAACTTTTGGAAATTTGAAAAAGTCGAGATTACATACATGATCTATACAAATAAGGGAATGTTATTGGATAAGGTTTCGTGTGACGTATCGTATAATTCCGTGCGTCTGTCCTCTAATAGATCATGTCCTGCTTGTTCTTTTTAGGTGATGATGCTAAGAGATGCTATCCACCATATGGCTGCTTTGATAGCTTACCGCCTTGGGATAATCCCTTCGCATTCAAACTTCCCGAGAGTCCAATTAAAATTGGCACCTCATTCAAGCTTTATAACAAAGACAAACAAAATGGTGTGGTATTGGATAATACCGACCCCACCACTTCTGACATTTCAGCAGGAGATAAAATTGTCGTCTTGATTCATGGTTTAAGTAGTATGTGTTTATTATAAATAGCTTGTCTCTCGTGCATGTATAAGTTGTGACTTGATAAAATAACAGCATTGTTAATTTGTTGACAAGCTTGCTACAAGCCTGTTGCAAACAGGGCCGTAGCTAGACCGATAATTGGGGGGGAGGGGGGTGTGCATATATATTCATATATTCGTGTTCTGCCCGACGGATTTCTTTTGAACGCGATTGTTTTGAACATGAATATATGAATATACCCCCCCCCCCTAATTCACGTCAGCTACGGCCTGGTTGCGAACACATCCATCCTCGTTCCCAGGGCTTCTCGCAAAGCAGGCAGCCGAGAAACCCTGGGAACGAGGATGGAACACATCTTGTTGACAAGTTGTGAACTTTTTACTTGGTCACTTTACACTAATCACATGTGAGCAAAATAAAACGATATGGTTATATATATACACAATTAAGATCTAACCAGGAAAGTTGCGAAAAAATGTAACACTAGGTCCTCTAGCAGGAATCGAACCACGGCCCTGCGATTGCAGTGCAGCGCCTTAACCACCAGGTAATCTGACGATTAGCGAAAGGACCTGGACTAGCAACAGAATAGAAGTCCAGTTTCGTACCTTTAGTCACTTGTCACGCCCTGATTCTTTTGCGAAACTGTTTGAAACTTTGTGTCTGTGTCTTGCACAGGGAAATGAATGTCTGGGACAAATTTGAGATAGAAATCTATTACCGTTAATGAGATATTGAGTAAAATTAAACCAGAAATGGATTTCTATTTTAAAACTAGTGCCAGGCCTTTTCCGAGTTCCGAGATCACCTGGCAAGTGAGCTACAAAGGCCAGTTGTTGAGCTCTAACCGCAAATTCATATGTATATGTGCGTATGGATTTTCGGATGTGTGCTGGGGGGCAGGGAGTATACCAGAGTTCTTATTCTCTTGTGTACATATATATGCTCACTTGGATGATTCAAGAAATACAGCATTCTAGTTCAACCGAGTGAAGCGCGAAACACATCTTTCAAGCGATATATGGTTAGCTGATTTTCGAATGATTTACGTACAGGCCCCTAACCCTAATTTTAGATTTGCCGAGTCGAGTCGTCGGAGCATGCTCCCCCCAGAAAATTTTTATTTTCTAGTGCTTAGAAACGCCATTTCCTGCATTCTGGGAGCAAAAATTTTTAAAAAATCAGCAATGATAAACAGTGACACAATGACTATAATTTCATAGTGTGTCTCACAATTGTATACTACAATTATCCAATCCGTAAGAATTCAAGTACTCTTGGTCCAACATGATCAGGTACATAGTAAAAGAAATGTGTTTGTGGTAATATTTGAGACGCTAATTCGTACTTCTACCCTTCATCAGAAATTGAATAGATTTCATTCAGGATGAGATGAACTTGAAGTCTTCCTGTTTTGAATTTTTTCATAAAAAATCTTTCCGAGTCAACCGATTCGGTGACTCATAGCTACTTACGCGCCTGTATCTTTCAAACGATATGGTTAGCTGATTTTCGAATGAATTATTATTTCGTTTGTGGGTATCTCACATTGGCCGTTCATGCTGTGTCTATTATTTATTCTAGCCCAGGGAGGTCATAATGAGTCCATGTACCTCGCTATGAGGCCTGAATTGCTTGCAAGAACGAACGCAAACGGTGAAAAGTATTTGAACGTCATTACGGTTGATTGGACTGGAGGAGTACGTCCAATGTCTTCTCCGTATGATTTCCCGACCCTTGAGCAGACTAATGGGAATGGTAGATTAGTTGCGGTACAGATTTCCTATTTCCTGAAGAAGTTGGAGAGTCGTGGTAAGTTATCTTGCGACGACGTTCACATCATTGGATTCAACCTTGGAGCTTCGATCGCAGGACTTGTTGGAAAGGCGGGACGAAAGTCGCCGAGGTGTATAATTGGTAGAATAACTGGTGAGTCATGTACAATATTATACAATATTGCAGTATTGCATGCCTAGTTGTTTGTTAAAGATGTTAAAAATTAATATACCTTTGAATCTCTCACTAAAATTGCTCAGGTCTGGATCCAATTTTGAGAGGATTTGGAAGAGTATTTAAGGCAGTGTCCAATGACACCAAGCTTCATTCCTCAGATGCGAAGTATGTTGACGTCATACATACACACAAAGACCCAATCTTCAAAGACCAGGTTGGAAAGGTCGATTTTTACCCCAATGGTGGTTCTATACAACCTGGGTGCAGAGATAGTAAGCATAATCGTTTTTTATCTCTAGCTTAATGTATGAACCAAATCAGTGTCTTAAACATCAGGTATCTTCTCTACATCTTATCCGAAGTGGAGAGAGCATTATGCTAGTAAATGTTAGATTAACAGGGGTGGGATAAATATTTTACTGTCTGGAACCACAAGAAAACCTTTAAAATTTTCTGTAAATTAATAAGTCAAGTAACTACATTACAGTCGAACCTCTATAAGCGGACACCTCTATTAAGCGGACACCTCTTTTAAGCGGACACATATCTCAAGTCCCATTCGTTTTCTTTAATAAAATACTATTATCATAACTCCTATTAAGCGGACACCCTTCTTTAACGGACGCGGACACCTTACTTGAGGTCCCAATGGGCAAATCAACCTCTTTTAAGCGGACAGATGACAGATTGTCTGATAAAATGTATTCAATATTCGCCAGTAAATAACAATTGAGATCAATTTACATGGCACATTGGCAGTGAGATACCAACTTGGCGCGAAGACATCAGAGCCAAGATTCTTGAGGAAGTGACGAACGAGGACTGTGAGCCGCCAGCCAAGGTGCCGAAGATATGCGTGAGCCTCGAAAGCAAACTTGTATTGATTCCTTTTTTATATGACTAGCTGTGAGAGACGTACACATTTTCTAATGAACTTTTATGCACAAAGAACGGTTTTGAAATTAACTTTTATGCTAATTATTTGCTAGATATTTTTTACTGTTTTGATACTCAAATTACACACCCCAATTTGCCTCCTGCTGTGTTTATCTGCAAACCCCTTTTAAGAGGACACCCGCTTTTAAGACGACACTTAGGCGAGGTCCCGAAGGTGTCCGCTTAATAGGGGTTCGACTGTATTACAATTATTTTTGTGGAAATATTTTCTGGGAACTCGAAGAGGGTCCTGAAGGGGAGGTCCCAATCCCATTTCCCACCTGAAATTTTGGCAAAATCCCAGTCCCAGTTGGATTTTTATTAGAAATCCCAGTCAATAAAAACCCCTTTATTTATATCGGTAGAATAAACAGTTTTAAGACCTTTTAAGCCACCATGTGTGCAAGTGGCGGACACATTATGAAAAATTTGGGGGGGACTCGTGCCGAAGGCACGGAAAATTTTAAAATTTGAATCCCGGAAATGTCATTTGCAGCATTCTGCGACACGCATAATCAGAAAACCCAGAATTCTGGGCGCCAGAGTATGCCTGTTCGCAGGTAGTGCTGTGAATCATATAGTTAACAACAAAAATCATGACCAAAGACACCAAAAACGGATCAAAATTGTATTTTAAAATACTTAAAACGTAGAAAAATTGGGCATCGACTCGCATTACCTCAACCCCATTCCCATTTTTGAGGACTTCATTTCCCATTCCCAGTGGACAAATCGCAGTCCCAGCAACCCAAATCCCATTTTCCCAGTCTAAAAATAGAACAATCCCAGTTCCCATGTTACCCCTTCAGGGCACTCCTCGAACATTATCTGGGACCAATGGTCCCGTGGTCCGATACGTTCCCCACCCATATTCAGACAAATGTTAGCAGTTATATACCAATGTCCAGTGACCATTTAAAGGCACAGTTCAGCCTTTTAATTGATGGTTTTTAAGGCGCATTTCAGCTCTTTTAATTGAAAAAACTAACCAGGAAAATTAATTATACATAATTCAAGAACAGTAACCTCAATGTTTTTAACAATAAAAATGTTTTAATTAAAATGTTAAAAACACTAAGTTTGCTGATCTTGAAATATGCTTAAAGTGCCTATGTCATGATTTGTGTAATTTATTACTTTTGTGATCATTGCATGGTATATTTTATGAAGAAATGCAATATATCTTTAAAAGAAAATATACCATCTTCACAGGATTATCAGACCTCAAAGTTAACGGATATGACATCAAACCGGGAATTGCAAATTAGATTTCTTTTGTTTTCAGCGTATAAAACCCTCGATTTGATGTCATATCCGGTAACTTTGAGGGTAATCCTATGAAGATGGTATATTTTCTTATAAAGATATATTGCATTTCTTCATAAAATGCACCAAAGATAAAAAATATTTAAAATCCCAAACCGTGACATAGGCACTTTAATTGATTTTCCTAGTTAGTTTTTCAATTAGAAGGGCTGAAATGCTCCTTAAAAACCATCATTCAAAAGGCTGACCTGAGCTTTTAAAGCCATACTTCTTACCATTAGGTTGTAAGAATGTGTTTCATTACAGAACATTGCCACCAATTTCGAGCTGTTGAAATATTCAGCAGCACTATCCTACCGAGTGGGGATTGTTGTTCAGCCACTAAATGTAGAACCTTCCAGAGATTCACGGAGGAGAAATGCAAAAACCATCACAAGCGCCCAATGGGATTTGCCCACGGAGCAAGCGGCGGGCCAACTCTCAATGGGAAATATATGTTACGAATTGGTGACACCGATCCATATTGCGGTGAGTTTAATTAATTAAGGGGCTGATTCTATGGTGAGTTTTTAGCCCACGGGCTGAATTTCAACTCGGTTTACGGAGACGAAATCAGTAAAATCTCAGCAAAACGGGAACTGAGTTTTATAAACTCATGAAAATCAGAGCTATTTAGGAATCGTTCATTGTTTATGGGAGTGAGGAGCGTGGGTGATTTTTTGAAAATTTTAATTTTTTTTCTGGACCCCACGTTTAGTCAAACTTGAATTTCCAGCTCCCACTTCCTTGAACAATGATATTTAAGTTCGCCTCCCCCCTTATAGATGATCATGCATTTTTTTGGTAAATAGATGGTAAACCATAATATATATTATGGAATTATAGATCTGATCTGATCTGACTGGTCAGGCCATTGAATGGAAAGCGCCCCAAGTTCTTCTACTGAATCCTCTAATGGCTCCAAATTCTTCTATTCTTCTTCTTCTCTCTCCGAGCATTCCATAGATAATAGAAGAGAAGGATAGGGAACTAATTGTTCTATGTTTTTGTTCACGTTATTCATTTATTCAAGTCATTCACGGCATTGTATTTTCTGTATAATGAGGCATTCATCCAATAGCAACGACTGGGTTGAATTAATCAGTCGCTTTACCGTCACGTGGTGGGTCGCTTTATCGTGACGTGTCCATAGAATTTACTTCCATATAGGGCATGTCATTGTCTTTCAACATGAAGTTAATTTTTGCTGTGAGACAATGGAGTTGCCTATCCTTCTCTTCTATTATCTATGATCATTCGTAACAGTTCGTCTGTTTCATCCTTTAAGCTCCAGCTCCATATTCACTATACTCTTCTCAATTAGACTCTTTTTTCGATGTTGACAGAATGCGCACTTGGAAAACCTACTGCTCTAAATGCCGTTCTTTCAAGTCTTTCAACTTAAGCTGTTGCTTATAATCTAAACTATTAATTTTTATATAGTTATGTAAATAGTGTTCTAGTCCTTGTCTTTAATGTATGTCTACTTATTGTGTTGTATCAGGTTGGTCTTCACATGGGCCCCATGTCCTGTTGACCATACCTTCAATCATTGTTAAACTTTTCTATGATTGTTAAGTTAATAAATAAATAAATAATAATGATGATTCTGTTAATTAATATTTCTTAAATCTCTCAGCCTCTTATATTTAGCCCCCCCCCGTTTCTAATTAGCCCAATATTTGTATATTGCATACAATGCCAATGATGTTGACAAAATATATATAATCCAAATCATAATTCGCATGCTTTCACATCTTTCTTGTAGGTCCCTGTAGTGGAATTAAAAAGCACTAAAGACAAACAGACTGAGAAGACATCTGTATCAGATACCAGTGCTGTCCTATACTTGTAGACTGCACAAAATAATAAATTAAATATATATGTATATATATGTTAAAATTTATCGGCTATCTTGTTATTCTATGAATTCTTATAGTTCTTGATGTTTTAAGTACTGTTCAATATAAACGAGCAGGAGTGTTTTATTAGATCGATAAAACACGTCCTGCTCTGATTATTAAACAGCTTCAGACACGACTACAAATTCAATAGATATACTGCCTTATTAGTATTCTTTATATAAATTAAGAATACTAATGATGACACGACAACAATAGATACTGCCTTATTATAGTATTCTTTATATAAAGAATTACTAATTAGGAGTGTTTTATCAGGTTTAAAGCCACTTTTTTCCGGAATTTGTTTGGGCAACCTCCCCCCCCCTCCCCCCCCCGTCGCCAAAACAATTTCGGTCAGTGTACCATTTAAAGGGTCAAAAAATTTTCCCGGACATACCAAAATTTTCCGGAACCTAACAAAAATTTTGGAAACATCACAAAATTTACAGAATTTGTCCAATTTATTTTTTAATAAACCAAAATTGCCCGACTGTTCAGCGAAAATAGCCCGACTGCCCAACAAACTGGGGGGGGGGGTACGCCCATGTTAATGAGTGTTTGAAGATATTTTTTGTATGTTACGTAACACGCGCTCAGAATTTTATTTTTCGATATCTTTCTCAATCGGCAAACAACTTGAAAAGTATGTTTTATAGTGCTTATCTGTAAAATAATGCTAAAATGAAGAGATTTTAGATGGTACGCCAAAGAGAAAATGATGTCGGAAGTTTAGTAAATTTTTCTTATATTATATTGATTATTGCTGCAAATGACATCACTTTAAAGCACCATTGATAATTGACTGTATTTTAATTGGCAATTTTTTACTATTATTTTATGTTTCTCAATTTTCGAATAATCTCAGCAATTTTCGAAGGTACGCCAAAAAGATTTTATGTCTTGAACGCTTTTCATTGTTTAGCTATAGATATGCGACATAGCAAAACATCCATGCCTCGTCCCCAAGCGCCATAAAAAGATTTCACATACGAATCACTATATAAAAGGTTTACATGAAGTAGAACCCTATGGAAACCCTGCGCTACTCGTTCGTCGCGATGCACTACACGGCAAAAAACGCCGAGCCCGCTGCTCAACAGGACTGAACAATGTTTTGCTGCCCACGTTGTTCACACTTGTCAACACTATTGAACAATGTTGTTGAGCCTGAATCGGGTGTAACAATATTGTTCAGTATTGTTGACAGCTATGAACAATATGGGCAGCAAAGCATTGTTCAATCCTGTTTTCATCAGTATTGCAACAACCTGAGCGTTTTTACGCGTGTACACGGCTAAAAATGCACAGGTTGTTGCAAGTTGATATCGACAGGCGTGAACAATGTTGTGCGGCCAACTATGAACAAGTTGTCAACCATGTTGTTCCAAGTTGTTACAGTTGAACAATGCTGTAACAACATGTTGACAATACTGTTCATATAGTGGACCGCACAACCTTATTCACGCCTGTTGATATCAACCTGGAACAAGTTGTTGATTTTATAGGCCTACTCTGGGACCTTAACTCGCCGCGAGATAAGGCGAGCCTATGCGAGTTAAGGCGAGATAAGGCGAGTTAAGGAAAAATCTGGCTACTGACCGTTGCAAGTTAAGGCGAGTTAAGGCGAGTTAGGGCGAGTTAAGGTCTGGACCTTAACTCGCCACGAGATAAGGCGAGCCTATGCGAGTTAAGGCGAGATAAGGCGAGTTAAGGAAAAATCTGGCTACTGACCCTTGCGAGTTAAGGCGAGTTAAGGCGAGTTAGGGCGAGTTAAGGTCCCAGAGTAGGCCTTTTTATCAATTTTTACGCGTCTACACAGCTAAAAACGATCAGGTTGTTGCAATATTGATTTAACAGGATTGAACAATGTTGTGCGGCCCACATTGTTCACAGTTGTCAACAATGTTGAACAATATTGTTACACCCGATTCAGGCTCAACAATATTGTTCAATATTGTTGACAAATATGAGCAATGTGGGCCGCACAACATTGTTCAATCTTGTTAAACTGCAGGCTCATAATTTTTGAGCGCGTGTACAGGATTGAACAATGTTTTGCTGCCCACATTGTTCACACTTGTCAACAATATTGAACAATATTGTTGAGCCTGAATCGGGTGTAACAGCATTGTTCAACATTGTTGACAACTGCGAACATTGTGGGCAACACAACATTGTTCAATCCTGTTTACATCAATATTGCAACAACCTATCGTTTTTAGCCGTGTACACAGGAAAAAACGCCTATAACAATGTTGATGAAAACAAGCCTGAACAATATCTTGCTGCCCATATTGTTTCTGGTACGTTGTTAACGATATTGTTCAGAATTTGAAAATTGTAGTTCGCTACAGTAGCGAACTTAGTCTACAACTCGTGTTAAGAGAGAGAGTTAAGAGATTATGTTCTCACAAAATCGAAAAAAATATAATAGTGTTCAGAAAAGAAGCTATAAGTTTTTGATATTTTAAAAAATTGTAAAAGACTATGTTACTTGCAAAATCGGGTAAAAAAATTAAAAATCCCAAGACAAGATTATCAGACATTGTCTTCGTGAGCTAATTTTGGAAATTCAGCCGGCTGTCGTACATCATAAACGTGGCTAAACAATTCACTTGTTACATAGGACGAAAGAACAGTTATTTAGCTTTTCAATGATACTCTTTTTAAATCGTAACGATGAGAAATGACCACATACTCGTCAAATAAAAGTTGCCAGTCAAAATCACATTTTTCCACCGTTGGGAATTGCATGGAAAACGAAACATAGACAATTCCCAAGATGAAGAGGGAATTAAAATTGAATGTTAAATTATCTAAAGTAAGCTCAACTCGTCAATCTTCGTCTTAGTGAGACAATAACTCAATAAGAACGTCATTAAACATGGCTTAATTAACCCATGAACAGAGAACATTCGTAATCAAAACGTTTTACGAAACAAATAGCTTGCAGCAGGCTCGAGTTGCTTTTGGATTGACTAACTTTGGATAATTAATGTATTTTCAATTCCCAACAGGGGAAAAATGCGATTTCGACCGGCACCGGCTTTTTATTTGACGAGTACGTGGCCATTTCTCATCGTTTTCTCATCGAAATAAAGGATCTCATCTTTTTTTCAAATGCAAACAAGGCCTCTACGACCTAGATATCTCCTCTTTTGTCACCTTTTCTTCTAATCGCTCATCTCGCACCCGTTCAAGCAAGGACAACTTGCTTCAAGTCAATCCGTGCAAAACCTCTCTTTTTAGAAACTCTTTTTTCAACCAGGAACCGCGGAGACGGGGGGGCTGGGGGGGCTTTAGCCCCCCCACTTTTTTTGACAGCCAAAATTATTAAAATAGAAATCTAAATGAAACTTTCTAAATTAATTAAACCTTTTCTAGGCATTTTTAACTTTCGCATCTAATTAAAATGAATAAAGGCTAAGCACCCCATTATGTGTACCTTACATGAAGTTCCCTTCAACACAGCCACGTGCTCCGAAACGAAATTATTATTTATATTCATATGGTTTTTGCAAAGTTTCCGCAATGGAGTTGAAACTGCCTTTATTTTTACTATTTTTACTTAAGTTTGTAAAAGGTCTAAATTTTGTTACTTTTTATGACGATGGTCTTGGAGATTTTTTGCTAAAGTTCCTCCAAAATTGCAGGAAATAGCGTTTAAGGTAATAGAAAATTGAACATTTTCCTTGGGGGTTTTATTGATGATTTAGCACCCCCACTCTCTAATACGCTCCGCGGGCCCTGAGTTAGTACTGATTTCATGTTAAACTAAAACATAATAATGAATTATATACTAGATAATAAACAATATTATACCTCAAATTTAAATTGTCCAATGAAAAAACAGCATTTGTACCACGTGATAGTGTGATTTTTTACGGTATTTCACTCAAATTCATGATTTCGCAATCCAGCGTGGGATACTATAATATCCCACGGCAGATCCACCGTGGGATATTATAGTATCCCACGCGCGACGCGTATGATATGGCGTTCGCGAGCTGTTGCATGTTTGTATTAAGGTCCGGTCACACGGAGCGACAAGTCGCAGGGGCATGTTGCAGGGACATGTCGCGGGGTCGAATTTCATCGTGTGTCACATGTGTAAGCGTTGTCGCGGGGACAAAAAATCGTCCCCGCGACATGTCGCATGAAATCAAATTGATTTGATTTCATGCGACGTGTCGCGGGGACAAAAACCGTTGCCGCGACTTGTTGCATCGTGTGAGCTAGTCTGTTCACAAGTCGCGGGGAAATAATTAGTCCGATCAATCACAAAATATCATTCCCATGACTACTTGCACGCTCAATTTCAATATATAAGTCCTCATGGGAGTTCTTTGACTTGTCGCATGAATTGACGCCTCGTGTGACCACGCGCCTGTAAGCGCTTGTGCGACTTGTTTTCGCCTAGCATTGTCGCTTCGTGTGACTCGTTTCGGGCGACATGTCCCTGCAACATGCCCCTGCGACTTGTCGCTCCGTGTGACCGAACCTTTAATTTCGTACAGAACTACAGAAGATTTTAATATTAAGTAAACAAATTATTTCAACACGTATGTTACTTTCAACGATCCAAAGGATACTTGCTCAAATATTTTAAGGAGAAAACGTCAAAAACTCAGGTATAGATAAGAAATTAAAAATTGTATTCGCGTAGTTATTAATATTCAGCAAGTTATAAAGTTTATTCTGAACTTGATAGACTCTTAGTGAGTTCTTTAACTTTCGGTATAATATATCATTTATAGACCCTCCGCTCGGGGGATTCGGCGATATTTCGCCTCAGTGATGATATTTTGTATATCAATGGGCAAAGCCCCTCGGAAAATATCATCACTTCGGGAAATATTACGCCGAATCCCCCTCGCTCCGGGTCTACCGGGTGGCCCAAAAAAAAGTACTCCTGTTTGATTCGTAATAACATCTAAACAAGTATAGCTTT